GAACGCGGCGGAACCGCGTTCCGGCACCTTTTTCCGGGCCGGCCGCACCGGAAATAGCCCCTCCCACACCGGAAATAGCCCCTCCCAAATTTTACTTGCATTCCTGTTCTCTAAAGGGGCGGTCCTAGGGTTTGATGAGGGCGTGGCCAGGTTTGAGTTCCGCCACCTTTTCTCCGAGAAAAAAAGCCCTGCACATACATATACATATATATATACACACATACAAACACATATTTATACATACACAAACACATATATACACACGCACACACATATATACACACAAACATACACACATATATTTATATATACACACACACATATATATACACACACATGTACATATATACACATACATACACACATATATACATATATATATACATACACACGCACACATATACACACAAACACAAACATGTACATACACAAACATATACTGTACATATATACATATACACACATACATGCACATATATATATACACACACAAACAATACATGCACACACACATACACACACACATATATATGTACACCCATATACATACAAACACCCACACATACACACATGCATAACATACACACAACTCCTGCCTGACCGATCCCCTTTAGTATGAAACTGATGTAGATTTTCCATTCTGCTTGTATTGTTGATTACTGAATTTATTATTTGGATCCACGGAAGGAACAAATTGTTTACTTCACAAATGTATATAAAAACTCCGTCGATTAAATATGCGGCGTTAAAATACATTCAATATAACGGGGAATACAGGGCACAGAATATGTGGACAGCAATGTCCAGGGGTACCAGTGCAGAACTGTCATGAATTAAACGCTTACAAGTTTAAAAAAAAAAAAGATTTTTAGCGTGGACTTAAATTGTTAGTGGAGGCTTAATCTCTAGAGAGATGGTTTTCCAAGCAGGAGATGCCACAGCAGAAATTGTGATCATCCCCGGGACGTGACACAGCCAGGAAGCCTCCATAGTCTTAACTGACAGGCGGATTAATGGTGGTTAAAGTTCTTTCCTGTGATGGCTTTTGGCTTTTGATGTTCAGTATAACTCTGTCGGCACCTCCAGGTTGCCTGCTGTTCCTTCACAGATAAATAGGGCAGCCACCACCCATATATAAAGTTTCTATCTGCCTAGGATTCAAATACAATTTATTTGGCACCATCCACGCGTTCCGTCCAGTCCTTTGCTGTAGCCAAACCCCAACCCAACCTGCATACATTCAGATTTAAGCCAGAATAAATCTGGGTTTTTCTGCTCTCCCGAGAACACCGTGCTTCAAATCTTCCAATGTACTTAAGATGTGGTTTTATTTCATGACATCTTAAACCTTAATTTCTGAAGCAGATTTCTTCCGCCGTCTTCACATTTCAAGCTTGATTCCTGAAATAAGCTTTTCAAGGCTTTTTGAATTACCGAAATTCTACTCCAATGGGCTCCTTTGTTCAGCTTTCCTTAAAATTACCATCATCAGCTGCGTCTCCAGATTCTGTTTATGGAAAGAGGATGAATTTTAAGGCTGAACGTTAATTTAGGCAGCTTATTGGCTGGCAGGGTTTATCTGCTAACGATTCCTGACCTCTTTAACAACATTTCTAAGGGATTGAGCGTACAGGAGAAATAATTTCACATAAAGTGTACAGGTCCCTAAATACATAGGATGGGGAATGGATAAATAGCCCTAAATAAACACTGGGATATCCGTCCATCAAAATATGTCAATCAGCCTGACCATGGGGAATATATTTTGCTCACAATTGAAGAAGAAGAAAAAACACATTTAGGCAGCCCTATTATCTCCTTTACCTCTTCTCCATATTAGGGAAAAGCTTCTGGAATAATAGCAGCGTGCCTTCAGATGTCAGTCTTTCAAATAGAGTTTCCATCTTCCGCTTGGGAGCACTTCAGATGGGTCCCTCAGAAATTAGATGGTGGACAGTGACCGAGTTGGTCTGTTCCTAGGATCCCACCACCAAGAATGAGCTGAAGGGGAGGGGGGAGTATCTGAATTCAGATCCCCAGTTTCAATCTAGAGCTTTCTCTCTGACTTTGGAGGGGGGAAAAAAATTAACACTCCACAAGCTGTAGCTTAACTCTTTTTAAAAAATGGTGTTATATTAAAGGGGAGAAGATCAGTCAATAAAAGATCAACAGACTAATAAAATAAGAGGCCTTTTTTTTTAAGACGAGGCTGAAAATTTTTAGAGAGGGGAAAAATGCTGTGTGAACATTTTAATATAATAATAATAATAATAATAATAATAATAATAATAATAATAATAATAATAATAATAAAAAGTTGGAAGGGATCTTGGAGGTAATCTAGTCCAACCCCCTGCTCAGGCAACAAGCCCTATACCATTTCGGACAAATGGCTGTCCAGTCTCTTCTTAAAAACTCCCAGTGTTGGAGCATTCACATCTTCTGGAGGCAAGGAGTTCCACTGGTTAATTGTTCTCACTGTCAGGAAATTCCTCCTTCGTTCTAGGTTGCTTCTCTCCTTGGTTAGTTTCCATCCATTAAATACCGTGTGAACATTTTATTTTATTTTATTTTATTTAAAAATGTGACTCTTCTACCCAACAGGTCTACAATCCGCGAATCAGGGTGGAATCTCTGTTGGTTACCGCGATTAGCAAAGCTTCCGCTCAACAGAGGGCTGGCCGTGCCGGTCGTACTCGGCCCGGCAAATGTTTCCGGCTCTACACAGAAAAAGCGTACAAAACCGAGATGCAGGTTGGTAAAGTTGCAGCTCATTAGCTTTCGATCGGAAGCGATGGTTGCGCGGAATTTGGATCCGTGGAAATATATATTTTTATCGCAAGCCATAATAATTTATCTTCTGGGCTAGGAAACAACGTGACCCAGTCAACGAGCGCACGGTTTATTTTTCTGGATTGTAATATTCTTATTCAGGCACCATGTTTGCTTCTCTGGTATCAAAAAGATTTATTTGCTTTTAACACACACACACCGTTTTTTAAAAATTATTATTGTGCTCGTTTGCTTTCATTCTCAGTTCAAAATTTCACGACTCTTTTAACAATTGTAGATATAAATATATTTGCATTAAAATGTCTGCCACTGTTATCAAGCAAGGTAGCCGTTTTCAGTAACCCATTAAACGTGAAACGAGCTTTTAAAATTCCATTTGGGTTAGCGGTTTTCTCTTAGCCCTGTGCTTTTTAATCGAAAAAAAGAAGCTGAATTAAAATATATAAACTATTTGTTTTCAGGACAACACCTATCCTGAGATTTTGAGGTCGAACTTGGGTTCTGTGGTATTACAGCTGAAGAAACTTGGTATAGACGATTTAGTTCACTTCGATTTTATGGACCCGCCAGGTATATTTTTTTAAAAATTCCTAAAATTGTGGACATATAATGTTCAGCAATAGCAAGATAACATTTTTCTTTTTTGTATCATGAGTTCTCTGAAAGTGAACGTACCAAATTCATTGTAGTGTAACAAACACCATCAGTTAGTGCCAAAAGTCTTTTATTTTATTTTTTAAGGTACACTTTATTATTCAAAAAAGGATCTGCGATCCATTTTGTAGTGACTTGAGAGCTCTTTGATAGCAAAGTATGTTAAATACGTTGAACAGTCGCTTTAAGAATAATAGCAATCTATTTGATAGGAAATAACTTTATTGGGTCATCAACCAGTATGTATCGTTAAGACCGTTCTACAAACCGTTTGGTTTGCTTCTTAGATGTGGATTTAATTTTTGTTCCTGGAATTTGAAACGGCAGGGAAAGGTTAGATCCAAAGAGGACCAGTTTTCATACACTAAGTTGTATTGATAGAAGTCCTCTTTCTCATCACTCTGTCTGTGAAAAGATAATTGAAGGCATTTAATCTTACGCAAACAATATTTTGCATTCTTTCTAGCAGTCTTTCCCAGCCTAACGGCTTCTGCCTGGAAATTTGGGGAATTCTTGCTAGATTGTCAAAATGTGTCTGGGGGGGTCCCATAGCGGGGAAGAAATACTGGGTCCCTAGAAGCCTGTATTATATATTGGGGAGAACCAGGTTTATCTCATACATCTTGATATGCTCTGCTCCAGTTGTGCTTCTAACATCTCGGTGAAGGTCAGAGTTATAAAACTACAGGCCCTTTTTGGCAGTAAATTTCAAGCATGTTGAATAAATCCATAGGTTTACAATAGATTTACTGCACTATGGGTGAAAATATGCCTGGAGAGGGAAAAAAATTTAAACAAAGGTGTCTGTCCAAATGTTTGGATATAGTTTGCTGTTAATTGGATAGACCCAGGGGTTCCCAATCACAGGTCCATGGACCGGCGACGGTCCGCAGCAGCATGCCAGAGGCCAAAGAGGAGAGGAGAAAGAGGAGGAGAGCAATAGCCTTTAGACTTATATACCGCTTCACAATGCTTCACAGCCCTCTCTAAGCGGTTTGCAAAGTCAGCATATTTGCCCCCAACAATCCGGGTCCTCATTTTACCCACCTGAGAAGGACGGAAGGCTGAGTCAATCTTGAGCCATTAGGATCGAACTCCAGACTGTGGGCAGAGTCAGCCTGCAATACTGAATTCTATCCATTGCACCATCAAGAAAGGAAAGGAAGGAAGGAAGGAAGGAATAGCCCTTAGACTTATATACCGCTTCATAGTGCTTTACAGCCCTCTCTGAGCGGTTTACAGAGTCAGCCTCTTGCCCCCAACAATCTGGGTCCTCGTTTTACCGACCTTGGAAGGATGGATGGCTGAGTCAACCTTGAGCCGGTCAGGATCGAACTCCCGGCAGTGGGCAGAGTCAGCCTGCAATACCGCATTTTGACCACTGCGCCACCATGGCTCATATAATACTTTAATAATAATTAGAATGTTAAGAACCTGTCCTAGTCCAGGAAAATTGATTCATCTCAAATCTAGCGGAATAAACGTTTCCATTTACAAGCTGGAAGAAGCTCGGCAAGCCTGTCCGTCTGTGGCTAACTCTCCGGGATTGCCCACTAGTCCAGAGCCAACTGCAGCTCCGTTAATTGCTACTTATCGCTGAATTAATTTGAGGGCCATTTGTTTTTGGTTTTCGGCAGCTTCGGGAACGGCATTGCTTAAAGCAGCGTGCGTGTCTCTCTGTGTGTGTGTGTGTGTGTGTCTGTGTGTGTTTTGCAGCTCCAGAAACCTTGATGAGAGCCTTGGAGCTTCTGAACTACTTAGCGGCTTTAAACGATGACGGAGACTTGACTGAACTGGGGTCCATGATGGCCGAGTTTCCCCTTGACCCGCAGCTGGCTAAAATGGTTATTGCAAGTTGCGACTACAACTGTTCTAATGAGATTCTATCTATTACTGCCATGTTGTCAGGTAATAGCAAGGACAGAGATGCCAGTCAAAACCCAGCTCTCCAATTAGGGGAAGCTTGTAATATTCCTGCAACAGGACTGACGGTCTTTAAAAAAAGCTTGATTTTATGCCGATCAGACGCACTCTGTAGTAGGCTTCACCACGGAGTAAAGTTCGTAAATGAAATCAACGTTGAAGCTACAGCACTCATTGTGTGTGAAATGGTGACCTAAACTCGTCTCTCACGTCCAGAAAAAAATAATAATAATAAATCCTTGCCCGTTAAAAGGATTTTCCAAAAAAAATAATAATATATATATATATCATAGGAAACACACTTCTTATTCATTAGAAACTGTAGTTCTTTTAAGCTCATTTCTGGCTCTGAAAGTGAGCCGTAGTAATAATAAGAACTGGCTTTTGTTTTCTGGGTCCTGTAAATTGTGACAGCCTGATTCACGACTAGTACGTTATAAAGACACGCAAGAGGTTACACAGAGTTGAAAAATACCCATTGTTTAACGGGAATGTTGGAGGGAAAGGCATCAGCGTAATATTTTCACTGCATACTATATATATATATATATTAAAAAATAGTAGAAACCAATATGATTGGGGGAAAAAAATGGGTTTGAACCAACTTGTCTGAAATGGTATAGGATCTCCTACTTGAGCAGGGGGCTGGACTAGAAGACCTCCAAGGTCCCTTCCAGCTCTAGTCTATTCACAGTCTTTGGTGATCATGGATGGTTTTTCCTAGCTAGTATCCAGATGGGTTCCTAGAGCCTGACCATGCAAATTTAAGAGAGAAAAATAAATTAAAAACATTTCTACAGCATGCACTGCTTCGAAAGTTGAGTTCCCGTTTCAGTTATCCAAGCCTAACAACGTTTTGACCGCAAAGAATTAAAAGTGTGGTTCTTTGGGTCTTGGCTTTAAACCTTTGAATTGCCCCTTTCTGAATAAGACCAATTCGATCCCAGAAGAAAAGAAAAAAAAAAGCAAGGGAAAGAAACGATGTGCTTAAAGCCTCCATAACTCAATAAATAGATATTTGGGTGGGACGACGGGAATATTAACCAGTTTAAGGAGCGTTAGAGGAGATATATTTTGCGGGTCTCAAAATGTGCCACGTTCGCGGTAGAGCATAAAGGGTATAAAGGTTTTTGGTGAGAACGAGCAAATCAAGTTATTGCAGCGTATTCTTTTTCCTTTTCCTTTTTCCTTTTCCTAAAAAAAAAAAAAAAACTAGCTACAATGTTTATTGCCGAATTTTGACAATTCAGACTCAGAGCAGATGGGCAGGGCAGAATATCATGGTGGTGAGCAAATTGTACGGTTATTTGCGGAGATGGTGGCAGGAGGTTGAACCCTGCCTCTTCACGCAATCACCGAGGAGCTGAATTCTTAAATGCAGGGGCTATGTTTTTATCCCCTCTAATTGTACATGTTGAGTATGTTGATCATTTTCCTTAAAAAAAAAAAATCACCTTCTCAAACAGCTGCAAAATGTTTATACACCTATACGTAAAAACGATGAAGTTACGGTTCTTCAAGCTTGTAGCATACATACACAGTGGAAAAGAAACTTGTGGGTAATTTTTTTTCTTGCACATAATTGGGGAATAGTTTTCTCTACACTGGTTTCCAGAAAGTGCCACTAACTATTCCCCATTCCCCCCCCCAAAAAAACCCAGTAAACATAATCAGACTGAACCAAAAGAATATGGGAACCATCTAATAACAAGGTTCAGAATATTCTCTTCCCAGAAACAATTCAGTATATTGAGACCTTCGCTCTAGGAAGAGTTGCGATGGCAATCTTGAAACAGTCTTAAGCTTAATAGATGAAGGAGAAACAGTCATTTGCCGACCAAAACTGTCTAAATTGAAATAATCCCATTCCTCCCCCCCCAAAAAAAAATCCCCCCCAAGAGCTTCACTAAATGGTACTAACAAATTAGTACTGCTCTTCATTATTCAATTTGCAGTATAAACATGACTATACATGTACTTAGTTTTTGTGCGTCAGTATTAATGGTTTTCGGCCACCTTAGTGCCACACAGTTTCCTACATTTTCAGTTTCTGGATGTCGACTTCATTTGTTTTTTGCAGAAACATTTCACTTTATACTTTCACCACCTTATTTATTTATTTTTTTAAAAAAATTGTGCTATAAGCAGTAAAGCCTTCTGCAATATTGCTGTTGGCATATTGCAGTTGTTCGTAGTATTCAATTTCTGTGCTGTTTTTTTTGCAGTCTTTTTCCCAGTGGTTCCTAAGAGGCCAATCTAAAAACTGTGCAGATTTACCTTTAAAAAGAAAACCTAAAATGGACATATTTTTTTTTTGAATTTGGGTTCTGATCAGGGTCAACATTGCAAGGCATCGAAAGAGCAGTGTTTTTAACCTGTTCTCTTCTCTCCAGGGTGATTCAATTTTATTTAAGTGCCTACGTAAAACAAGTGGGGAATTTTTACAGGCTCTCTTTAATGAAAAGATTCAGCTTTTCCTACGTAAAAGTCATTTCTTTAAAAAAAACAAAAAAAGGAACCGATTTTTAAAGTCTCGAATGAACGGCTTTATGGGATATTTACCTACTCTTAAATAATGAAAGTATGGTTCATGACCTCCAAAATGATAAAACGGCATTATATAAAGAGAAGGCTCTGCCTAAAGTCTCAGTCCACAAAATTCATATATATATATATGATAAATATATATCTGATAAAGCTGCTGGGAGTCTGCCTTCCACCACTGCCACTGTGGTCCTAGCCCTGGACCACCAAGTGCCATCATCTCTTGTTCCACCCATGTGTTTGACCTCCAGTGCTGATAGCAATGCTTGCTGATGGTGATGGAGCTATAATGCCATGCCAACAAAGGGGATGTTTGAGGGGTCCTCGGTGCTCTCCGAGCACTACCCAAACGAGGGCAACGTCATCGGCGCACTGATGACGTTACCTAGTCTGGTAACGAAACGTCCGCAAAGAAAACCACCAGGCTCAACAGAGCACCGAGGACCCCCTCATATCAACATATTCTCCTTTAGGAGAGGGGACATTTGCCTAACTGTTTATAGGGGGGCTTATTTTCTTGAATACCCTCCTTTCCCCACCCCCCCTCCCCAGGTTGCTCTTGACCATGGATTATTCTTGTGAGGCTGTTTGGTCTCCACAGCGCTTGGCAGAGCTATCAGCATTTGGTCCCGTGCCAAGGTCACACCGCCCTTCCAGTTGATGGCCTTCAGGCTAGCCCGGGGTTGGGCGACCTTGGCTCTTTCATGACTGGTGGGCTTCCAACTCCCAGAATTCCTCCACCAGCACGGCTCAGCTTGGGAACCTCTCCCTTTCCCCTCAGCCAGTGGCTGGCTCAGGAATTGTGGGAGTTGAAGTCCACCAGTCATAAAGGAGCCATAGTTCCCCCACGCTGGCTCAGGAATTGTGGGAGTTGAAGTCCGCCAGTCATAAAAAGAGCCAAGGTCCCCCACCCTTGGGCTAGACTATTCTTATTCTGATTATTTTTTGGATGCCTACTTCTAGTCAAAATAACCAGGCCTTCTGTAGCTTTGAAACCCCCTCTTGTCTTGCAGATGTGGTTAGGTGTTGATGTCCCAAATCAAGGTAGTAGACGGCCCAAGATCCAGTTGGAGGCCATCCTGCCCTGCCCTATGCTCTGTGAACTGACCTAGCTAGGCCTTGTACCTCTGTCTGTGAATGCGTGACTCATCGATATGGGCGTTTGTGTTGGGCCCATACCAACCTTGTTTAGTCCCACAGTGTTTTGTTCGCCCCACGGAAGCCAAGAAAGCCGCCGACGAGGCCAAGATGCGATTCGCCCACATAGACGGAGATCATTTGACGTTGCTGAATGTCTACCACGCTTTTAAACAAAGTGAGTAGTCGATCCCACTTGGCCCGGCTGGGCCTCAAAAGAGTTTGAATCGAGGTTGCTTTCCAGCAAGATTGTTGTTGTTGTTAGTTGCGAAGACTGAGAACCTCCATAGACATCAAAGCTAGTGATGACTTGACAAACTCAGAGAGCACCAAGGACCCCTCAGAGTCAAGACGTTAATTAGAAGCTTCACCCCTTCTGCAAACTTTGTTGTTGTTAATTGCGAAGTCGTGTCCGACCCATCGCGACCCCATGGACCACGTTCCTCCAGGCCTTCCTGTCCTCTACCATCTTCTGGAGTCCATTGAAGCTCACGCCTGCTGCTTCAGTGACTCCCTCCAGCCACCTCCTTCTCTGTCGTCCCCTTCTTCTCTTGCCCTCCATCTTTCCCAGCATCAGGCCCTTCTCCAGTGAGTCCTTTTTTCTCCTTAGGTGGCCAAAGTCCTTGAGTTTCAACTTCAGGATCTGGCCTTCTAAAGAGCAGTCGGGGTTGATCTCCTCTAGGACTGACCGGTTGGATCGCCTTGCAGTCCAGGGGACTCACAGGAGTCTTCTCCAGCACCAGAGTTCAAAGGCCAGCAAGATTACTTGACCTTGACCTTGTCCTTGTGGGCCTTCAGGGCATTTTTCACACAACCAGTTGCGTATGCGTCACATACTTTTAGGCAGCTTATAACCGGGTTCCCAGTTACTTTGAGGGTGGTGCTGACTCTGTAGCCACGCCGCTAAATTTACTTTAAGGCCACCGTTATCCCGATCAAAGTTCTTAACTTGCTCTCGGGACCGATGATCTGTAATGGAAATGGGGGAGAATATCATCTTTAGAAATAACAGTAGGGAAGAACGTTCCCAGGCTACGGGTAAACGCTGGCTAAAAAAGCGAAAAGCAGTCTTATTTCCACATTGACACGGGGGGGAAAAAAAGGGATGGTTTCCTAAATAATTCACTCTGATTAAGTGTACAAGTTATACATTGCCGGATGGATTTTGCGTTTGTCTAGACGAAAATACTAATTAGTCACCCAAGGGAAAAACTGGCTGACGTAGATTCTTGATAGTCTTACAAGAACATTGTTGGTGGGGAAAATTGATCCCAATTGTTTAGTTGGCCAGGCCTTGTGGGGCTGTACGAGATGCACACGGCAGATTTATACATCTACCAACCCATAATCACTTCCTTCAGTTGTGATTTGATTCTCCCTCGTTGCTTCCTATTGTCCCCGGCTTCCTTGGGGAAAAAAAGAAAGAAAATTAAAACAATTTGGGGTTTTATTTCCTCGGCGCTGCAGCAAATGTAGCTTTTGTGTATTTTTATTTTTACTTTAAAAAAAGAAAAAAACCCATACAACTGAAAAGACTTATCAGTTTAATTGGTTTGACTTGATTTGGCCCATCCGGATGATTTCCGACTGTGCGTTTGTTTTAAATTTGGTCCGAAATGCTGAGTTTTGGATGATTCGTGACTTTTTTTTTTCCTTCCTTTTCTTTTTTTTAAAAACGTTGCAGATCATGAATCGGTTCAGTGGTGCTATGACAACTTCATTAACTACAGGTCCCTCATGTCTGCAGACAACGTACGCCAACAGCTGTCACGAATCATGGACAGGTTTAATCTGCCACGCAGAAGCACAGACTTCACCAGCAGAGACTATTACATCAATATACGAAAGGCCTTGGTTACCGGTTACTTCATGCAGGTACGTCCCCCCCCCAAATAAAGGAGGAGGGGGTCCCTCTAATTTTCTGTTTCTCAAATGTTTCGTTGCTGTTAAAACATCAGTGTGAGTTGATGGTTGAGCGACTTGGAGGGATTTTAGTCACACTTCCACAAAGCAGGATATCTTAACAGTAACACTTAGACTCGGCCTTCCGTCCTTCCCAAGTCGGTAAAATGAGGACCCAGATTGTTGGGGGCAAATATGCTGACACTGCTTAGAGAGGGCTGTAAGCACGGTGAAGCGGTATATAAGTCATAAGGGCTTGTCCTTCCTTCCTTCCTTCCTTCCTTCCTTCCTTCCTTCCTTCCTTCCTTCCTTCCTTCCTTCCTTCCTTCCTTCCTTCGCGTTAGAATGCAGCATTGCAGGCTGACTCTGCCCATTGCCAGGAGTTCGATCCTGACCAGTTCAGAGTTGACTCAGGGTCCCGTCCTTCCGAGGTGGTTAAAAGGAGGACCCAGATTGTCGAGAGCAAATATGCTGACTCTGCAAACTGCTTAGAGAAGGCTGTAAAGCACGGTGAAGCGGTATATAAGTCTTAAGGGCTTGTGCTATCTCCCTTCCTTCCTTCCTTCCTTCCTTCCTTCCTTCCTTCCTTCCTTCCTTCCTTCCTTCCTTCCTTCGGGTTAGAATACAACATTACAGGCTGATTCTGCCCACTGCCAGGAGTTCGATCCTCACCAGTTCCCCTTCCTTCCTTCCTTCCTTCCTTCCTTCCTTCCTTCCTTCCTTCCTTCCTTCCTTCGGGTTAGAATACAACATTACAGGCTGACTCTGCCCACTGCCAGGAGTTCGACCCTGACCAGTTCAGTTGACTCAGCCTTCCATCCTTCCAAGGTGCCTAAAAGAAGACCCAGAGTGTCGGGAGCAAAGATGCTGACTCTGTAAACCGCTTAGAGAGGGCTGTAAAGCACGGTGAAGCGGTATATAAGTCTTAAGGGTTATTGCTATCTTCCTTCCTGTCAAGTGAGGTGTGAGTCATCAGTGAGGGACTTGTGATGGGGAGGTCACATCAGGTGAGGGTCATTAGGAGGTGAAATGCTGGTTGGGGGGAGGGGTTGGGTGGGATGGTTGAGGGTCATGCAAGCCCCCCACCCACCCACCCACCCAACCAGGGATGCTTAAAGCGGTCCAAGGCCATGGGAGTGTTCTGCTTGAGAAAAATCATCTTCTCGGATTTTTGATTTTTCATGCCTGCTGAAAAGATTTCCTAACCACGAGAGGCTTCTAGCCGTACGAAAAATCGTTTTCAGCCTTAAGCCACGACTGCCTTGGCTGGAGAAGTGACCTGTCCCCTCGTCCTCTCCCACCTAGGTGGCCCATTTGGAACGGACGGGGCATTACCTGACGGTGAAAGATAACCAGGTAGTTCAGCTGCACCCCTCGACAGTTCTCGACCACAAACCGGAATGGGTGCTTTACAACGAATTTGTCCTTACCACGAAGAACTACATTCGCACTTGTACAGACATCAAACCGGAATGGTAAGCCTGCTTTTCTTCAAAGCTAGTTTATTTTTTTATTTTTGAACCATCTCCACTTGACCGTGAAGTGCGTACATTTGGGTGAAAGTTCGGTCTTTCCTTTCCTTTCCTTTCCTTTCCTTCTTTTCTTTCCTTTCATTTCCTTTCCTTCTTTCCTTTCCTTTCCTTTCCTTCTTTCCTTTCCTTTCCTTTCCTTTCCTTTCCTTTCCTTCTTTCCTTTCCTTTCCTTTCCTTTCCTTTCCTTTCCTTCTTTCCTTTCCTTTCCTTTCCTTTCCTTTCCTTTCTTTCCTTTCCTTTCCTTTCCTTTCCTTTCCTTCTTTCCTTTCNGGTCCCTCTAATTTTCTGTTTCTCAAATGTTTCGTTGCTGTTAAAACATCAGTGTGAGTTGATGGTTGAGCGACTTGGAGGGATTTTAGTCACACTTCCACAAAGCAGGATATCTTAACAGTAACACTTAGACTCGGCCTTCCGTCCTTCCCAAGTCGGTAAAATGAGGACCCAGATTGTTGGGGGCAAATATGCTGACTCTGCACACTGCTTAGAGAGGGCTGTAAAGCACGGTGAAGCGGTATATAAGTCTTAAGGGCTTGTGCTACCTTCCTTCCTTCCTTCCTTCCTTCCTTCCTTCCTTCCTTCCTTCCTTCCTTCCTTCCTTCCTTCCTTCCTTCCTTCCTTCCTTCCTTCCTATTAGAATGCAGCATTGCAGGCTGATTCTGCCCACTGCCAGGAGTTCGATCCTGACCAGTTCAGAGTTGACTCAGGGTCCCGTCCTTCCGAGGTGGTTAAAAGGAGGACCCAGATTGTCGAGAGCAAATATGCTGACTCTGCAAACTGCTTAGAGAAGGCTGTAAAGCACGGGGAAGCGGTATATAAGTCTTAAGGGCTTGTGCTACCTTCCTTCCTTCCTTCCTTCCTTCCTTCCTTCCTTCCTTCCTTCCTTCCTTCCTTCCTTCCTTCCTTCCTTCCTTCCTTCCTTCCTTCCTTCCTTCCTTCCTTCCTTCCTTCGGGTTAGAATACAACATTACAGGCTGACTCTGCCCACTGCCAGGAGTTCGACCCTGACCAGTTCAGTTGAATCAGCCTTCCATCCTTCCGAGGTGCCTAAAAGAGGACCCAGAGTGTCGGGAGCAAATATGCTGACTCTGTAAACCGCTTAGAGAGGGCTGTAAAGCACGGTGAAGCGGTATATAAGTCTTAAGGGTTATTGCTATCTTCCTTCCTGTCAAGTGAGGTGTGAGTCATCAGTGAGGGACTTGTGATGGGGAGGTCACATCAGGTGAGGGTCATTAGGAGGTGAAATGCTGGTTGGGGGGAGGGGTTGGGTGGGATGGTTGAGGGTCATGCAAGCCCCCCCCCCACCCACCCACCCAACCAGGGATGCTTAAAGCGGTCCAAGGCCATGGGAGTGTTCTGCTTGAGAAAAATCCTCTTCTCGGATTTTTGATTTTTCATGCCTGCTGAAAAGATTTCCTAACCACGAGAGGCTTCTAGCCGTACGAAAAATCGTTTTCAGCCTTAAGCCACGACTGCCTTGGCTGGAGAAGTGACCTGTCCCCTCGTCCTCTCCTACCTAGGTGGCCCATTTGGAACGGACGGGGCATTACCTGACGGTGAAAGATAACCAGGTAGTTCAGCTGCACCCTTCGACAGTTCTCGACCACAAACCGGAATGGGTGCTTTACAACGAATTTGTCCTTACCACGAAGAACTACATCCGCACTTGTACAGACATCAAACCGGAATGGTAAGCCTGCTTTTCTTCAAAGCTAGTTTATTTTTTTATTTATTTTTGAACCATCTCCACTTGACCGTGAAGTGCGTACATTTGGGTGAAAGTTCGGTCTTTCCTTTCCTTTCCTTTCCTTTCCTTTCCTTCTTTCCTTTCATTTCCTTTCGTTTCCTTCTTTCCTTTCCTTTCCTTTCCTTCTTTCCTTTCCTTTCCTTCTTTCCTTTCCTTTCCTTTCCTTCTTTCCTTTCCTTTCCTTCTTTCCTTTCCTTTCCTTTCCTCCTTTCCTTTCCTTTCCTTTCCTTTCCTTCTTTCGTTTCGTTTCGTTTCGTTTCCTTTCCTTCTTTCCTTTCCTTCTTTCCTTTCCTTTCCTTTCCTTTCCTTCTTTCCTTTCCTTTCCTTTCGTTTCCTTTCCTTTCCTTCTTTCCTTTCCTTTCCTTTCCTTCTTTCCTTTCCTTTCCTTTCCTTTCCTTTCTTTCCTTTCACTAAAAACTACGTTCTGTTTAAAACTTTAGTAGGAGACCCAGACCAGGATAAACCCCCTCTTTGCTTTAATTAAATTTGCCTGAATGCTGTAAAGATTAAAATGGGTCCTGCTTCTTTGTAAGCAGAGAAAATAAAATAACACCGGCGGTTATAAACAGCAAAGGTTTTTTTTTTTTTTAAAGAAAGGGATACTATTTTCAGTAAGGTTTGGATTCTTTTGTGAAGCATAAAACGGGATTTTAAGAAGCCGAGGATTAAGCCGAAATCCTAAACGGGGGATCAGAACTGAAAATGTCTGTATTGTCTTCTTAGATAACATCATATTTTGTTATTTGGAACATGCATAGTGATGGATGGCTCAAAGCTTTTGTGGACGTCTCCCTTGATAGCCACCAAAGTCCCTGCCTTGTCTGATTTTCGTTACATTATTTTACATGCTTTCGGGGTTTTTTTTAAAATAAAAATACGAAATGCAGGCAGCAAAGCACAATTTTCCAATTCTGCCTTTATTCTGCTTTTACTAATTACTTAATTCCGCCTTTATCTGCAGAATACCTCTATGCGCACATGGGGCGTGGGGCGCACGCTAGTTTTCTGGCTACTGTGGCCCATTTCTCCATGGCTGCCATCTTGTGACAGCGCCCACAGCAGGCTCTCCACATTCCAAACACAAGCCCAGAAGTTTGGCTGCTCTTGATTCGCTTGCTTTCTTGGTGTCTTGTAAAAAGATCCTTGCAAACTCTGGGAAATGTCTTACTAGTTTCTTCTTCTGCTTAAGAGAGTAGCCTCAAGGGTTTGGATTCTACCCAGGAGTGATTGTGGCAGAGATTTGTCTGTCACACACACACACACACACCTTGACTTCCATCTCTTTCTGATATCTATCTCTGTCTATCTATCTCTCTCTATTTCTATCTATCTATCTCTATCTATCTCCATATCTATCTATCTATCTATCTATCTATCTATCTATCTATCTATCTATCTATCTATCTATCTATATCATCTATCTATATCATCTATCTAATCTATCTATCTATCTATCTATCTATCTATCTATCTATCTATCTATCTATCTATCTATCTATCTATCCATCCATCCATCCATCCATCCATCCATCCATCCATCCATCCATCCATCCATCCATCCATCCATCCATCCATCCATCCATCCATCCATCCATCTATCTATCTATCTATCTATCTATCTATCTATCTAATCTATCTTACAATAGCAAGTTGTTTTCCTACAGCATTATAATACAAATATGGGCAAATAAAATACAGGGAAGGAGTATTTGTTTCAGCAAAGGCCGTTTGATAATCTATAAAATCTAAACTGTGGCACCTGAGGGCAGACAAGAAGTAACATGAAAATTTATCAAAGAGAGATTCCAACCTAGAACTAAGGAGGAATTTCCTGACAGTGGGAACAATTAACCAGTGGAACAACTTGCCTCCAGAAATTGTGGGTGCTTAAAACACTGGAGGTTTTCAAGAAGAGATTGGGCAGCCATTTGTCCAGAATGATATAGGGTCTCCTGCTTGTGGGGGGGGAATGGGGTTGGGCTAGAAGACCTCCATGGTCCCTTCCAACTCTTGTTCTTTCTATACGAATCATTACCCTTTTACTGACTTCTATCACCTGAATATTAACTTTCCAGTTGTTATTAAAAAAACAACAGCATGTTTACATTATGTAGGAGGGATTAAACTCCTTTGATTGCGTGGTTACCCTTTACTATGAGACGCTGCTACTCCTAGCCGAGCCATTGCTACGGCCGATGTCACATTCAGGTGTTTCGCTCAGTGTGACAGACTTCCCTTTCTTTGGCAGGTTGGTGAAAATTGCTCCCCAATATTACGACATGAGCAACTTCCCACAATGCGAAGCAAAGAGACAACTGGACCGGATCATCGTCAAACTCCAGTCCAAGGAGTACTCCCAGTACTGATTGGCCTTTGAGCTGGACTTGCTCAGAGAACAGCTTCAAACGATAAATGGAATTCTTAAAAAAAGTTCCAGGTTGTGCTCTTTGCCTTTTATTTGGGAGCTTTCTAATTTCTTCTACACAGTAAATATTCCATTTTAATTTCATACATTAAATATGTATGCCTCTCTTTTCTTTGTGTGTTGTTCACACTGTAACTCATACCGGGGTGGGGGTGGGGTGGGGAAAAAGCTGATCAATGTTTTGCAGTTTATTAAAAGTAGTTTCTCTCTCTCTCTCTCTCTCTCTCTCTTTCTCTCTCTCTCTCTAACAATGTTGTAAGCATTTCTTTAGAAATGGTTGGAAATGCTTCTGAAATGTGAGTCTCCACCATGGCGTGCATGATCGTTGTAATTGTTGACATTCCTTTTAGAAGTGAAATGTTACAATGTGCTTATGTAGACGCAACCTTCAGCTTCACTACAGAAGTGTACTGACTTCAATAAAGTCTATTTATACTAAAATCTGGGCAATTTATTGTTTCAGCTCCCTCAATCGAGAAATAAACTCTGGCCTAAGTCAGGGGTCCTCAACCTTGGCAACTTTAAGACTTGTGGACTTCAACTCCCAGAATTCCTCAGCCAGCTCTGAGGTTCCAACTCCAATTCATAGGCTTAAACAATAATTTTCCCAGCCAAACCCCTAATGTCTTACGTAGTCCATATAAACAAGTTCAGCTTCGTTTTGGGAACCGCCCGCTTCAAATCCACACTTGTTCTGGTGTCCTTGAAAAGGTTTCGGGCTCTCTCTCTTCAGCAGAATCGAAGAAGTTTTGTTTCTCCATCTAGCCCACTTGAAAGTAACACCTCTGTTGTCTGTTACTTTATACACAGAGATAGAGACATATGCCTATGTTTCCTTCAGAGGTGAATTTTGCCGATGCTGGTTTATTATTGACAATTACCTTGCTCAGAAATGTAAATATACATTTTAGGCATTTGCTATCATTAGACTTCATGCTACAAAATTTACTATTTCTTGTTATGCTTCAGCCGCATTTTTGGCAAATCACATTTTTCAGCTGAGTTGATCATTTTTCACTTTATATTGCTACATAGACATAGATCATTTTCCCCGGAAACCTAACAAACGACTTTCAATATCAATATCAATATTTATGTAGTCTGAAGTAACACGACTTTTAAGTTTCTTTAAAAGCAAAACAATCATAACCAAAAAACAAAACAAAAAACAAAACAGCCTCTGGACGTTAAATGTTGGAACAGTAATTTTTTGACATGTTAAAATCTCTTGCCAAAAAAGTTAATAACATTTTCCCCTAGTTATTTTTAGATTGTCGTCACAAAGTTTAATGAGGAAGGCTTTAATGGAATTGTATAGGACTATCTTAGCAACTATAACTTAAAAGAAATCTACAAAATAGTTTTGTAGAAAAGAAAAACCAAAGTGTGAAGGAAAAAGATTCAGCGCCTATTTTTCTAACGCACTGATTTACCAAAATTCTTAACTACAGCTAGTCCTCGTTTAGCAACTGTTTGCACTTACGACAGCGATGAAAAAATAACTTGACAGCGAGCCCATGAGCTTAACAACCTTCGCAGGTCCATGTGAAGCAGCGGAAAGCTGAAATAAGATCATTGTGACACTTGGCAACCGCTTTGCTTAACAGCAGTCCCAATAGTGCTCAATAAAATTATTGGCGATATTGGAAGAAATTTCCACTTCTGTGACTCTTTTGATTTTAATATTGTAGGAAAATATAACTGAAAATTAATGTTAATGCGCCCCATAAGTAGAGTTGGGGATTTGGGGAAATACCTTTATTTTCATATCTGTCATTCAGTACACGGAAAACTGGAAAGTGGTAACTTCAAGTTATAATAAATTTAATACATATGTTCTTTAAACAGCAAAAGGCCTTTCCATCTTCCCCGGTCAATAAAACATTTTAATAGAATTCTGCATGACATCGCAAAATATGCCTCGTTTGTTGTTTTTTAATCATCCCTGAAAAACTGAATAACTGCAACGTTCTAATAAAACTTGTCCCGTCGATTTCAAAGGCCCACCCAAACAGCCTGTCCCTTCTCTTAATTGTTAATCTTTCTATTACTCTTATTTGCTTAAATGCCTTTACAAACGAAGTACGGCAATTTACCGGCGAGGCTTCTTCTGTAAAATAAGCGACACGCTCCGAATCCAGATAAACTCCTCTTATTATTGCAGACCTTGGCAATTGGCACTTTGGAGTGGTAAAAACAATCCCGCCGAAGAAAGGAAATGGGTTAGCGCAAAACTTGAAATTTAAAATATATAGCTGGACTTGAGTTAAACTGACATTCTGGGATAAAAGAAAAGGCCTCGTTGCAAATATTCCCTGCAAAAGTGATCTTGCAGGCAATCCCTTGAGGGTGAGTTTAATATATAAAAGTTTTTAAGTCTCCTTCAGGATGAGCTTGACCCTCTTTCTGACTTCAGCGATAAAAGTTCTGGTGTTTCCTTGGCACAAATGCAGAACAGGTTTGCTGCTGCCAATTCCTGGGACATTTTTATTTATTTTTTTTTTGTTTTGGACTTTCTAGATTACAATCCTAAAATGTTCTGCTAGGCTCCTGTCCAAGTATTAATCAGGCTTGACATAACTTAGTTTCCAAGCTCGAACAAGGTCAATCAGTGGCTGCTCCTGGCAGGAAATCATTCTAATTCATTAGGTAGGTAATATTTGTATGAATTTCTGACGCTTCGTGACCAATTCACAAATCACATTTTTATTTTCCGAGCTGAAGTGGGAGCTTATAGGTACTTTTATAGCCTCTTTTGAGTTGTTTATGGAGTTGTCAATATTTTTTCGTCCTCCTTCTAAAGGAGAGAGTTACTAGTAAAGCACGGATCCAAGAAGAGGGGGGTTTGTATCTCCAAAACATCCAGAGTGTTTTGACAAAAGCCAGATTAGAGTAAATCGATGGGAAGGGGGTAGATTGAACCCAAGTTACACTGAAGAAGCTGTCCTTTGATTTTGGATTTTTTAAAAAACAACAACAAAAAACCCAGCGAGATAAACATCTTTTCTCCAGCATTGAAGGTAAAAAGGGAATTGAAATGCCTAAAATAAAAGTAGAATATATTACAAAGGAAGCCAGTTAGGCTTAATTGATATGTGAACGATAATGTGCCATCAAGCCACTTGACTCTTAGTAGTGAGTACATAAAATTTATCTGTCCTCAAGTTGACCCTTCAGGTTTTCCAAACGAGGCAAACACCACTGTTGTAATTGAGTCCGCCTGTCTTGGTGTGGCTGTCCTGTTATTCTAACTTCTCCCAGGATTATGGGTAGTCCTTGAATTACAACTCTAATGGGCTTGCCCATAACTTGTTACCGTTGTTAAGTATGATTTTACGACTTTTTTTCTTTTGCAGAGGTGGTTAAGTGAGCACCATGGCCGTTAAGCAAACCAACGGTTCAACACGGCTATGAATTTTGGCCCAAACCAGAATCAAATGCCAATTTTGGGCAAAACCGTCATAAAAACATGATCACAGGTCTGCTACAAATAGCTATCAAAGCGAATGGTTGCTGGGTGCCCGAATCTGGTCATGTGACTGCGGGAGGGGGGGAGGGCAGCCATTGAAACAGAATCTGGGTGGTGAGTATACCCCAACTAGGTCTGTTGGAACTTTGAATGATGGCTAAGTCATCGGTTGTAAAACAAAGGGCGACCTGTATAGATTTCTCCAGACAGTTAAGCCTTCGCATAATGCATGTGAAGTATACACGTCTGGCCCTATATACCTATATGTATATGGTCATTTGTGTATGTGTCATGCTTGACTCGCTATGCATCCCCCCCCTTGGAAGCAGACAACAGAAATGGAGATGGGTGGGTAGAATTGGAATGCAAGAGAGGAAATTGTGGAATGTAAGAGGGGAAAAAAAAGACAGAAAAGAAAAGAAAAGAAAAGAAAAGAAAAAAGAGGAAAGAAGAGTCCTGGTGCTCAAGGTCGAAAGACGGGAAAGTTCCAAGGCGATGAGATCATTTCCAAAAACAAATTAACTGTAATTGACGGGTGGACAATGAACAGTGGGTGGCCCAGGAGAGAAAAGGGGATTTTTAACTATGCTACTTAGCACGCGAAAACTTCAGAACTGCCTTCCTCTTTTGTACCTATGTGGAATTGTCCGTAAAGTTATACTCATGTGGAAGGTGATACAACAAAGGACATTGAACGGCGTGTTAAGTATGGTTGGCAGGAATTCTACAAGCTAAGCATAATTTTCAAGGACATCCTCCCCGTGCCTGAAAAGTTTTCAATCAGTGTGCGCTACCTGCTCTTAACATATGCCGGAGAAACATGGACACTAACCTCACAATCGATACAAACGCTAGGAGCCATGGAGAGAGACACACTCGGCATCACAAGACAAGACAGGAAGACCCAGATGTGGATTAGAGAACAAACAAAAGTATAAGATGCCATTAAGAGAGTCAAATAACGGAAAAGGAAACGGGCTGGTCGCATAGCAAGGAGGACCAAGGCGGTCATAGAACGGATCCCACTCGATGAAAAGCATCCACGAAAGAGACCGAAAACAAGATGGAGCGACGATATCGGCAAATATGGCGGGCCCAATTGGCAAAAGCAAGCTCAGGACTGTTTTCATTGGAAACATGCGGAAGAAGCTTCATCCATTAGTGAAGAAACCATGGCTTAAATGATGAGGATGGTGGTGATTAACCCACTATTTCTTCTGGAAGTTGGTTCCCAGCTTCCACTGCTCTTTCTATGGAGTCATGCTTTCTAACATTACTTTTGGACTTCCCTCCTGTCGGTCTGTGGCGATGCCCGTGTTCTTGATTTTTGCTTAATATTGAAAATATCGCCATCTAGAACCTTATTCATGCTTTTCAATCATGTCTCCCCTTTTCCTTCTGTCCTCCAGGCTGCGTATACTCAGTTCCTCCTAATAGGTTTATCCCTCAGATTTTGCATCCATTTTATCGCCCGTCTCTGGACTCGCTCAAACTTATTGACATCTGTTTTGAAGTGAGGTCTCCGGAACTGGGAGTATTCCCAATGGGGTCTGATTAAAACCCTCTATAGCGGGATTAGGAAGTCGTCATTGTTAACCAAATCCCGTGGTTGTTAGGCAAGGTAACTTCTTGTTGACTTCTTATAAGCAAAGACTGCTGGCTGGGGAATTCTGGGAGTTGAAGTCCACAAAGTCTTAGGAGTTGCCAAAGTTGGACACCCCTGCCTTAGATGTTGCTGCTTCATTTCTCTCCAGAGATAAAGGGCTACTTGGCCAAGACTGAAGATAAGCTGTTTTAGATGCTTCTAAAACATAAATGTTTATATGTTTTTAAACCCAGAACATGACTCATTCAAATGCCCATATATCTTTTTCTGGAGAAAGTTTTCCTGCGTTTTTGGCTGTCACTGCACTATCATGCCGTCTGTTCTCTATGTGTACACTGCAATTCTTTTTTTTTTCCAGTACAGCAG